AGGATTTTTTCCCACAGGGTTTTTCCTAGTAAGATTTTAACGAGGCATATTATCTATGGACATCCAAGGGGTGGTGTTATAAAATATTATAGTGTGGATGTCCACTACATCAAGAAGTTACTCTCACCCATTATCTCTATTACTTTCCTCCATTATGAAGATAACCATAACCTCCATAACCTCCAACTTTATAACCATTATTCTTGTAACATTTCACTTCTATAACCTCCTTCATTATATTTATGTTAATATCATGTTTATGACTAACGTTTTGTATGCCTCTATGTTACACTATAAATAAAGGCATAAGGGTTCATATTGTATATACTTGAAGATTTGGTGAATACTTTGAAGAGTTGGAATAATAAGAAATGCTTTCATCTCTTGTCTTCCAATTTTTATTGCTTTCATCTTCTATATTTCTTGTCTTATTTTGCTTTAATTTTACCACAGTTTTCATTATGATTGGTTTTCTTTTCTTCAAAATTCACCATCCTAAAAAAGTGAATAAGACTACGCATATATTATCTTCTTCAAATTTTACTTATAAATTATAGAGTTAAAAGTCAAATGTACACTTAAGCAATTCAACGTTTTTGAGTTTTACCCTACACTATGTGGAGCGTGAGAAACACACATGAAATATCACTCGTAATGAGTTTAACGTGATTTATTCGGGAAGAGTTAACATAATGTATATATGTTAGGAGTCGTCTAGTGTGAGGATAAGAAAAAATAGTCCTGTGATAAAAAATTGGTGTCTTTTTTGGTTGTCATGTTTAGGGTAACTTATCCCACCATTTATATCATAGTGATGGAAGTTATCCCATATACATGGTGGGATAAGTTACCCTAAACATGACAACCAAACAAGACCTCCAAATCCTAGATCTGTCTCTGCCTAAACTTAAAAGTATGTTTTACAGAATGATGGTTAAACCATCCTTTTTCGTATAGGGTGGAATGCTTACCAATCAAGAATTTACATGTTCAGGAGATGCATGTTGCTTAGATGAGAATGTTGAGATAGATGTGTGGATATACTAGAAGCGACAAAATTAGAAATAAGATTATCCGGGGGGAGGTGAGAGGTGGGAGTAGCCTTTGTGGCGGACAAGATGTGGAAAGCAAAACTAAGATGAATTAAACATATAAAGAGGAGGTGCGTAAACATCTAATAAGGCGGTGCAAGAGGCTGATGTAGGAGATATACTTAGGATTAGAGATAGGCCAAAAGTATTGAAAAAAAGATAATTAAATAAGACATGATATTACTTTATATTACCAAGGACATCTAGATAGAAAGAAGTAGAGACCATGTAGGGGTAGAGTTTGTTTTGTCTTAGTTTTGTTATCTATTATCATACTCATATATTGTGTATTATATTTCAACTATTGTACTATTTTATTGTTGTTATTATGGGTGTCAAATGGGGGGGTTGAGTTGAAATTGAAGATATTAAAATGAGTTGAAATAGAAATCGGGTTGGGTCTTGACCCGCCCAATTTGACCCAATTAATCTCAATAATTTTAACATAGTGATATTTAACTTTTATAATCACAATTTGAATTTCAGATCAAGTTTTTTTTTTTAAAGTAACAAATTGATAGGTAAATCCTAAAATATGTTAAATAGATAATAATTGATACCTTTAATATAGGAACATATATTAGTAAAGAGTTTAAAACGGGTTGAAATTGGAGATTGAATTGACCTCAATTGAGGATTCTCTTAAAATATATTAGGCTTGAATGGGTTGAGATTGAACCCAATTCAAATTATCTTAAGTCTAACCCTTAAAATTATTTTGGACTTATCTAAGTTTGAGTTCATTTTTGACACACATGATTGTGACTATACTTTCTTTTGGTTATGTTAATTGTTGTTAATAAATTCCTCGTAGCTCAAAGAGGAATGAACTGTTACCAAAAAAAAAACGAGGAATAAACAGAGACGAACACTCGCATAGTCGCGTTTATGCTTGCCCAATTCAAACAAAACAAAGTCCAATGAGGAAATGAGAAGGAGGAAATCATAATAAATAATAATAATAATGCTCTCCATAAATAAATAAAGAATTCCGTAATTTTTTATTATTTTTTTTTTAAAGAAGTGAAGAATTCCGTAATAGTATTCAACAATAACAATATATAATACAAATAAATCAGCTACCCTAACTCCATCAATTCCGGCGAATGAAAAAAACGCAAAATATTTCACAGATCAGAGATTTAGAGCATCAAAGCAGCAGCAAAGACAGCTACAACAGCAGATCCGGCAACAGCGACTCTGTTCAAGGAAGCAGAGTTTGGAGATTCGGTAGGAGAACCTCCGGGAGCGGCGGCAATGGATGGAGGAGAAGCAGCACCGGAAGGAGACGACGCCGGAGTCTCGGAAGTTATAATGCTCTCCATAAATAAATAAAGAATTCTGTAATAGTATTCAACAATAACAATATATAATACAAATAAATCAGCTACCCTAACTCCATCAATTCCGGCGAATGAAAAAAACGCAAAATATTTCACAGATCAGAGATTTAGAGCATCAAAGCAGCAGCAAAGACAGCTACAACAGCAGATCCGGCAACAGCGACTCTGTTCAAGGAAGCAGAGTTTGGAGATTCGGTAGGAGAACCTCCGGGAGCGGCGGCAATGGATGGAGGAGAAGCAGCACCGGAAGGAGACGACGCCGGAGTCTCGGAAGTTGGTGGAGCTGGAGGAGATGCCAATGGAGAATCGGATGCAGTAGTAGGAGCATTTGCAGGGGCAACGATAGGTGGTGTTGATGTTGTAGGAGGAGGAGTCGCCACCGGTGCCGGAGAACTCTTCGGAGAAGCTGCCGGAGATGCTCCTGGTGCTTGTGAGAAAGCAGATCCGGTGATTAATGCCAACATTAGAGCAATGATCACCTTTGAGTGTGCCATTTTAGCTTTTAAGAGAAAAGTAGAAGAAGTACAAACAGAGTAAGAAATGTTAATATGATCTGTGAATACTTCTTTATTTTGAAGGAAAGGAGAAGAGAAGAGTATATTTATAGGTGGGAAAATGAAGATTTAGATTAGTTGTAAGTCGGTTTAGAATTGAAAATACTGCTCGTAATTAGTAGTTGACAACTCAACGACAGAGGATGTGACTGAGTCCAAGCTGGTTACGTTTTTGTTTGCGTGTGAAGAGATAAATTATTCTAACAAAAAATTGTTTGAATATTTCTTTGTACACCTACTTTTCGAATTGAGTTCTTATAAAAAAATTGAATCTATATTATTAGCAAAACAATATGGTTTACTTTTCTTTTCCTTAAAATTGATGGAATAAAATTGTGCACATATAATCTTCTTCAAATTTTACTTATAAATTATAGAGTTGAAAGTTAAAAATACACTTGAATTATTTGTATTTTTGAGTTTCACACCGTCAATATTTGGATCGTGAGAAACACACATGAAAAATCACTTATAATGAGATAACGCAATTTATTCAAGAAGAGTTAACATGGTGTATATATGTTACTTATTACCTATTAGTGGATGACATAACACTTATTGATGAGACACGAGAACAAAGTTTATGATAGATTGAAGGTTTGAAGACAAATTTTGGACTCCAAAACATTCAAATTGAGCATGACTAAAAATGAAATATGGAGAAAAAAATCCAGTGTTGCGTTGGATGAATTTGACATAGAAGTAAGACTTGCCACATGGACTATTTCTAAGAGAGAATTTTTTAAGTATCTTGGATTCGTAATTCAAGGAAGTAGGGACATCGATGATGATATCACACATCGCATTTGGGGTGATATTGATGAAATGGAGGCTTGTCTCTGAGTTGTTTTACAGAGTGATGGTTAAACCGTCCTTTTCGTATAGGGTGAAATGCTTACCAGTCAAAATTACATGTTTAGGAAATGCATATTGTGGAAATGGGAATGTTGAGATAAATGTATGGATATACTAGGAGCGACAAGATTAGTAATAAGGTGATCCAAAAAAATGTGAGAGTAGCCTATGTGGCACAAGCACTACTAAGATAAATTAGATTGTAGACATTGAAATTTTGTAGGACTCTACAAGACATGTTCAATTTGAGTTGGGACTCTACAAGGTGTGTTTAATTTCAATTAGAATTTTAAGAGGCTACTCAACCCTAAACTCCAGTTCATGCCTATATAAATGGTACTATATTTTATTGAAAAGGCATCTCGAATATCTCAAATATTCCACAAACTCATGGAATATTCATAAAGAGATCAAATCCAAATCATCTTAATTCGAGAAATACGCCACTAACGATCCTCGAATTATGAATATCAAGTCCAAATCATCCTAGTTTGAGAAATACGCCACTAACGGCCCTTAAATTATGTAGATCAAGTCCAAATCATCTTAGTTTGAGAAATACGTCATTAACGGCCCTCAAATTATGTAAATCAAGTCCAAATCAGCCTAGATCGAGAAATACGCCACAAACGGCCCTCGAATCAATGGATAAATATCTTATGAGAGAAGATCAAGAGATCAACAGAATTGTACCCGCAATCTTGATGAATAAAATTATGTTTCTTCATTTTTTTGTAATTGTAATTTATTTTCTATCACTTTAAAATTTGTTGCAAACATAGACATACGAAGAGGAGGGTGCGGAAACACCCACCAAATAAGGCGATGCAAGAAAACCCAAAAAATATTGAAAAAAATAAGATAATTAGACAAGACATGATACAACTTTATATTACCAACCACATCTAGATAGAAAGGAATAGAGATCGCGTAGGCTAGAGTTTGTCTTGTCTTACTTTTGTTATCTATTGTCATACTCATATATTGTGTATTATATTTCGTTTATCACACTATTTTATTGTTGTTATCATAAGTTCTTTAGGTTATATTTATTGTTGTTGTTAATAAATTCCTCGTAGCTGAAAGAGGAATAAACAGAGACGATCACTCGCATTGTTGCATTATATGCTTGCTTAATTCAAACAAAACAAAGTCCAAAGAGGAAATCATAATCATATTGCTCTCCATAAATAAATAAAGAAATCCGTAATAGTATTCAACAATAACAATATATAATACAAATAAATCAACTACCCTAACTCCATCAATTCCGGCGAATGTAAAAAATGAAAAATATTTCACAGATCACAGATTTAGAGCATCAAAGCAGCAGCAAAGACAGCTACAACAGCAGATCCGGCAACTGCGACTCTGTTCAAGGAAGCAGAGTTAGGAGATTCAGTAGGAGAACCTCCGGGAGCGGCAGCAATGGATGGAGGAGAAGCAGCACCGGAAGGAGACGACGCCGGAGTCTCGGAAGTTGGTGGAGCTGGAGGAGATGCCAATGGAGAATCGGATGCAGTAGTAGGAGCATTTGCAGGGGCAACGATAGGTGGTGTTGATGTTGTAGGAGGAGGAGTCGCCACCGGTGCCGGAGAACTCTTCGGAGAAGCTGCCGGAGATGCTCCTGGTGCTTGTGCGAAAGCAGATCCGGCGACAAATGCTAACATTAGAGCAATAATCACCTTTGAGTATGCCATTATAGTTTTTAAGAATGAGATTTTTTGAGTGAGAAAAGTGGAAGTAGCACAAACAGAGCCTTAGAGGAAATGGAAATGTGAGTTGATTGTGAAAAATTGAGAAAGAAAAGAATGTATTTATAGGAGTGAAATATGGGGAGTCGGTTTAGCAAAAAAAGGTAAAGTGATTTAATTATAATTAGTTGACAACTCAAGGACGCAGGAAGAAAACAGGAAATGTGACTTGAGTTTCCAGCTGGTTAGATATATATTTTTTCTTAGCGTGTAAGAGATAATTTTTTCTAGAAAAATAAAATTGTTTGAATGTTTCTTTTTGCAAGCAGTACTTTTTTATTATTCTCTTCCAATTTCATTTTTCAAGAATTAAACTATTTAAGTTTGTTCGGAAATTATGCATTTGAAATGAAATTTATATATTTATAAAATAATAAAAAATTTCCAATAAAAATTGACTTATATGAATTTCAAGATCTGAAATATATTACAAACGGACGAAAATATTTGAAATTTATCTTTATAAACTCTTCTAAAAAGATTTTGAATATTTTTTCGGAAAAAGAATCTGAAGGACAGAATTTTAATTATTGGCAAACATTATGGTTACCGTTATGATTGGCACGTTCTAGTCTGGCTAGCGGCTATTCGTTGGCCACCTAAAAAAGGCGATGGAAGATGTTTTGATATATTTTTTAGTTTAATTTTAAGATTCAATTTAATAAAGCGTTAAGATAAATTATACAAAAAAGGAAATATTAATTTATCATGATAAAATGTTAACTATAGGAATTAGGAAATATTGCGCTCATGGTTAGGATTTAAATTCTTATGAATTCCGTCTTTTAATATTAAACTCACTAAAGGTTATCTATTATACAATGTCAACCACTTCTTGATAAAATGTTAGGAAGAATCAATTGTTGGACCACCAAGTTCCTAACTTATGCAGGAAGGGAGTTGCTAATCAAGTCCGTCTTGTTCTCCATACAAGTGTATTGGTCACAGATTTTTGTCCTGCCAGCAAAAGTAATAAAGCTCATTAAACTAATTTTGAGATAATTTTTAAGTGCCCTTTAATAGGTTGTTTGGTTGCAAAGGCTAAGATAAATTATCACAAGATTAACAATTAATCCTGGGTTAAGTTATCCCTCATTGGAGGTGGAATAGTAATCCGAGGATAACTTATTTTGGGATAAAGAATGTGAAATAACAAAAATACCCCCTTAAACTCTATTTTATACACCACTTTAATGTATATTTACATAATTTTTAACAACATTTAGAACAACATTCACAACCTTAATTATTCGTTGTTCTTATGGTAATATGTTTTTCTATTAAAAATTACATTTTATGAATATATTACAAATTGATTTTATTTGCCTAATTCCTATGTTTATTTATATTTTGATTTCTCTTTAAATGTTCACTCCACTACTAAATTACATATTTTTAATTAAATAGTTTATTACTCACTTAAAATTATATTTTATATATCAATTAAAATGTAGATAGTTGTGAGAATTTTTTTTTAGATAACTTTAATAATAATATTTCTTTTAAAATGAAAGTTTTATTTTTAAGCTAAAAAAGATAGAAGTTTTATTTTTAAGTTAAATAAGATGAAAGTTTTATTTTTAAGTTAAATAAGATGAGAATTTTATTTTTAAGTTAAATAAAATGGAAGTTTTATTTTCAAATTAAACAAGATGAAAATTTAATTTTAAAAACACATGGCACAATCATGAAAATGTACACACAAAATTTTTTAAGCTAAATAATCTGAAAAATTTATTTTTTAAAATGAATAAGTAAAATTTTCAAAGAAAATATTTGAATATGACAAACCAAACAAACAATAAAAACTAATATCAGCATAACTAATCACATCACAACTTATCCCAATATAATGTATCTCAACAAAACTAATTCCAGCATAACTTGAATTCAAATCAAACAACACCTTAACATTATAGGTGGTTCATATCTATTATTTAGTTAAATTTTAATAATTTTTTACATACAAATTTACGCTTTAAATTGAAAGTTATGGATTTAATACATCCGTGCCTGATTATTTATGGTTTATCAAAACATGTTTAAACCAATCGAATCAAGCTATACCAAAAATTGATTATTAAATTATTAAATAAAGTTATAGATTCTTATATAGATTTATAATCATTAAGTAATTAGAACACTTTTAAATTTTATAAAAATAATACAAATAATATTTAACTATATTATATAAATTTATGTGTAAAATATATAACAATAATAAATATTTAATGTAGTTTATAAGTGGAGTGAACATAATCTAGATAATTAAAGTGAAGAATTATGATAAATATCACTCCCTCCGTCCCATTTTATATGTCACATTTTTACTTTGCACTTACATTAAAAAATGATGTAACTTTTACTTTTCTACCCTTATTTTAATTTTTTTGGAACTCAAGTTTTCAATCAATGAATATGAATTAATTTATTTTGATTAATTAATTTAACCAATGAACATGAATCATTTACTTCATTTTTCCAAGGGTAAAAAAGTAACAATATGCTAATTTATGCATTGATTTTATGAAATGACAAGTATTATGAATCAACTATTTATAAAAAAGGATGACATATAAAATGAAAGGAAGGGAGTAGAAGAAGATATGATAAAATATTTTTTAAAAGTAACTACACCAAAAAAAATTGTGATAATCTAAGTACCAAAATATGGTAAATAGTAATCGAAATCATAGACATCTACGGTTGCAAGCTATAAAGTATTGAAAAATATTGTTCTCGTATGATTTAAATCTTTATTATTTTAGTACACATTTTTTGAGCGCCATATTCATTAATATCATCGAACCAAAAAGTTCATCAAAAGTTAGAAATATAGGAATGATATTCATAAATGTGAAAGTATTTGCCTAATTTCATAGAGTCATTCGATCGGGAATGCTATATGCTCTTTATTTTCAGAATAAAATAAAATTCGGAATTTGAGAACTCTCAATAAATAAAATAAAAATTCCCGTAATAATATTTAACAATAAAAATATATAATACAAATAAATCAACAGCGGAACTCGAAACTCAAAAAGAATTGGTAAACAAAAACACAGTGGAAAACAAACCCTAACTAATCAATTCCGGCGAATGCAAATGCCAAATATCTCACAGATCAGAGATTTAGAGCATCAATGCAGCAGCAAAGACAGCTGCAACAGCAGATCCGGCGACGGCGACTCTGTTCAAGGAAGCAGAGTTAGGAGATTCGGTAGGAGAACCTCCGGGAGCGGCACCGATGGACGGAGGAGAAGCAGCACCGGAAGGAGACGACGACGGAGTCTCGGCAGTTGGTGGAGCTGGTGGAGATGCTAATGGAGAATCGGATGGAGAAGATGCAGTAGTAGGAGGATTTGCAGGGGCAACGATAGGTGGTGTTGATGTAGTAGGAGGGGGAGTCGCCACTGGTGGTGATGCTACCGGTGCCGGAGAACTCTTCGGAGAAGCTGCCGGAGATGCTCCCGGTGCCTGTGCGAAAGCAGATCCGGCGACAAACGCCAACATTAGAGCAATAATCACCTTTGAGTATGCCATTTTAGCTTTAAGGAGAAAGGAGAGTGGAAGAAGCACAAAGAGGTATAAGGGGAGGAAATGGAAATATGAGTTGTGATTACTTTTGATTTTTGAAATATAGGGAAGGAAAAGAGTGTATTTATAGGAGGGAGATATTGAAAAAAATATTTTTTTATTTTAGTAAAGTCAATTTAAACCAACTGATGGAATGATAAAGAATTTTTTCCTCGAGATCAAATTAATTTTAAATTTTAGTGAAGTCGGTTTAAACCAAGTGATGGAGTGATAAGTATTTTTTCCTCCTTAATTAGAGATCAAATTATTTTTTAATTTTAGTGATGTCGGTTTAAACCAAGTGATGGAGTGAAAAGTATTTTTTCCTCCTTAATTTGAGATCTTACATTCAAGTCCTCAAAAGTATGGGATCACTTTTATTACGGAGTGATTTATCCTCCAATATGAAACATTTCAAGATAAATTTAAATTTAATCTAACTTTAATATAAATATTACATATCATATGAGAATTGTAAAAAACACGAATTATAAATAAAAAATAATACTATTAATTTGAAATAAGAGTGTGGACTAACAATTAGTTGGCAACTCAACGACTGAATAATAAGAAAAGAGGGGATACGATTGAGTCCAGAGTCCCAGCTGGTTTGATTACTTTTGTTTGAATGTTTCTCATATTACTTTTTAATAATACCATCCTCCGTCACCCGGTTCAATTTATGTCATGTAGTTTAATTTAATATAATTTAAAAAATATAAAAGATTATAATTTAAAATGAGGACAGAATTTTAATTATTGGCAAACACTATGGTTACCGTTATGATTTGCACGTTCTGGTCTAGCGACTGGGAATTTAAAAATTCGTATATTTGTTTGGCCACCTAAAAAGCAGAGGTACCCTGGATTAAGAGAATGGAAAATATTTATTCATTTTTAAAACTTTTTAAAAAAATTATTTTTTTAATTTTGACTTAAGGGCAAAGTTTATTGAATCATGTAATTTTAGAAAAAATACATATAATATATTAAAATATTTTTAAATTTATTAGTTTTAAATATGTCACGTGAAAAGTTAGAACTAAAGAGTTGTTAAATAAAGAAAAAAATTACTACATGTTTTTAAAATAAATTAAAAAGGAAAGTAAAACAAACAAATTAAAACAAAGATAAGGGTATGTGCGCACTTAATTATACTATCTTCATTTCAAAATAAGTGATATTTTTAGTCTGACCATACTTCAAAAAAATTACTCATTCCTAAAAAAGTTAGAGGTGTTTTTACTAACTTATCTCTAATTAAATATCTTGATAAAAGAAGTAGTTCTTCAATAATGTAAAATTCATAAATTAAAACAAGAAAATTTTTGAAAAAATAAGATTAATTCCTTCTTGAAAACCTAAAACAATTTATCCCGAAACAAAATGTAAAAGGTTAAAATACAATTTCTTCCTGATAAGAGGGAGTATCAATTTATTACTCTTTCATTTCATATTAGTTGTCATTTTTCATTCACACACTCTTTAAGAAATCATAACCTCAATCCTTTTAATGCTATCAATATTATTTACTTTCAAACAATTAATTTCGAGTAGAGTTAACAATTAATATGCTACAAAATATATGTTATTTTTCGCTTTTTGCTTTTTAAAATTCAAATGAATTTTGATTAACATTTAAGATGTATTTCCACTATATTATATAATATTTCTCATATAATTGTTGAATATTTAAGTTTTTTAATTTGAGAAAGAGATTCGCTCTCACCAATGATGACTTCCAACGGGAAACTACAGAACATTGATTCATGTGCTGTATAAATTAGTGTTGTTTATTAAACCTAATTATTATGATAACCTATTTTTTAAAATGTAATTAATAATTTATTGTGGGGTTGTTCTAGCTTTGCTTTTCCAAATTCAAGTGACATGTTAAGACTTTTCAATTGTTGAACAACTAAAATAGGTTGTAATTTTGATTGCCAGCCTTTGAAAAATTAACGTTTCTTTATCATACGTGAGATATATTATCCTGTAACGTGATCATGTAAACGACATTCTAGATATATTTATGCTTTGAAAGTAGAGGGTGGATTTAGTTTCTAAATTATGATTCACGTGCATTTAATTGAATAGAACTTTTACTTAGGAGTTCGGAATATGAAGAAGTAAACACATGAGAAAGTTAAAAGGAGTTCAACAAATATTATATATACATAAATTATTATTTTTTAACTAAATGTAAATAATGTAATTTTTCATTTAAAGAAATCCCTCGATCTTATCTAGCTCTGCCACCGATTGAGTTGTTATTATATATCTTAAAGTAACAAGAATCAGTTTTCACTTAATACTTTCTTTTTTCACCGTTCAAGTAATAAATGAAGATTAGAATAGTATACTAAAATGCTAATTAATTATGATTATTATTTGTTCTAAACATTTGACTTGAATAAGTGTTTTCGTGGATTACAACACAAGAATCAGATCTTAGATGGCAAGGAAACTCGAAATAAAAATAATCAATAGTGAAATTATATTTACTCAACTTCATTCATACTTCAAATTATACTCTTCATCACATGGCCAGAGAAAATATATTGGGTTACATTATTATTTTTTTTGCCTAATTTTTTCACTTTCTCTGTCTTCCCTTTTTTTTAAAATATAAAATAAATAAATAAAATTGTCCCTACTTAGGGAGCTAGTGAATTGATAATTTTCTTTCTTAAAAATAGTGATTAATAGTGGGAGGTATTAGAGAAAATAATAGTGATTAATATTAGCTTTGTTGTTATTGCTTTTGTTTGGTAGTGTTATTACCTTATTCAATATTTGAGGTTTCAATTTATGTTATGTTGTCTGATTTGACCTGGAGTTTAAGAAAGAACTATTTATATTTTAAAATTCGTAATCTAAAAATTAAAATAAATTATAGTAAATATTTATATAATTATAAATTATTTCGATGAAATAAACATTTTAATGGAACACTAGTGGATTGACATTGTCAGGCTCAGTACCTACCATTTTGTCTTTACTTCTCTTATTATAAGCTCCCATGCATTTACATGTGTGATTATCAAAGTTGCATACAAAAGTCAAAGTCTTTATGTTTCCGTTGGTACAAATATAATTTTTTTTAATTTACTAGTACAATGTTATTTAACTATTTAACGCTTAAATAAATATTTTTATTTAACTTTTGTGATCTTAGGGGTCGTTTTTTGGTGTAATAGAGAAAAGGAGTTAATCTCAGGATAATTTTTAAGCATCTTTTGTTTTCTTGTTTGGTTGCAAAATTTTGGGATAAATTATCTCATGATCATGAATTAGTATCGGGATAAGTCATCCCTCACACTGGGTGGTATAGTAATCACGGGATAATTTAATCTGGGATAAAATAGGTAAATGACAAATATATTCCTTTAAACCCTTTTTATACATCATTTTTCACATTTATGTATATTTACATTATTTTTAATACCATGTACAATAATATTCACGGCTCCTTTTATTTTTATGACAGTTATTCATATTTTTCTATTAGAAAATTACACAACATATAAATATAATTTTTATTTATAAATTTATTTGACTAATTCTTATGTTTAAAATATATTTTGATTTCTCATAAATCTTTTTCTCTTTAACAAATTTAAGAGGAGAGTTCTATTTTAAGCTAAATAAGAAAAAAAGTTTTATTTTTAAATACATATGGTACTTATCATGGGAACACATAAACAAAATATTTAAGCAAAATAAAATAAAAGTTTTATTTTTAAAAATGAAAAATTGAAGCCTGCAAAGAGAATATAAAAAAATTAAATAAAGTGAAGGATAATTTTATAAACAAACAACTTGTTCTTAAAATTTATCAATATATATTATTTTGAAAATAACAAATCAAACACTCAATAAGAAATTATCCAAACACGCGTTATCTCATCATAACTAATTTCAACATAACTTATTCTATTATAACTCATATTCAAATCAAACGATCCCTTAAAGTAAAAGTATATTAATATTAAAATATCATTTAATTTTATAATATTAAATATGCTATGTGAAAATTACAAGTAAAAAAGTAGCGTTGTCAATCTTATAACGTTATGAAAATCTCATGAATAAGATAGTCACCCAACTTCTCAACAGTACTCTCGAAACCTACAAAATTTTGTCTTTCTTGAAAAGAGCCTCTAAGACTTAAGAGATTGTTTGTTTTTTTAATAAAAAAAATAAAATTATTTCCCTATTTGAAATTAAGTGGACCAATTAATTTAAATTTATATTGCATATGACTAACTAAAAAAGAAATTAACCTTCGCTATTAAAAATCTAGTTTTTCTATTTCTAAGATTAGAATTAGGGTTCGCTCGATAGAAATCATAAATATAAAAAAAATAGACAAGTTTTTAAATTTATTTTCTTTATGTTCAAGGTAGGTAAGTAAAATTATTATTTTAAAAATATTTGTATATAATTTAACTAAATATTACTATGTGAGGTGGGGGTGGGGAGGTGGACATGGAATGTAGGCACAATTAACGTGGAATGTAATTAATAGAACTTGTTTTTCTTACTTTCATTTGATAAGTTATTTTGCTTTCTTTTAAAGAATTTATTTTTCAGTGAAAAATATTTTTCAAAATAGGTAACCAACTGAATATGGATAAATAATATATTTAATTTAATATTTTAAAATTGTATGGCTAGAATATCAAAATGTATAGACGTGCTTCCATGAGTTTTAAGAAAACGCGGATTAAGACAAATTCAATGTCAAAATATTGAATGTTGAATTTAACAAACGCTTAAGCCGCGTGGGTCCGATGTGTGTTATTTTCATTTATTTTCTCCTTTTATTGTATAGAATATTATTATTATTTTATTGATGAAGATTCAATTCTCCACCTTATAACTTTTTTTCATTTTTCCTAACCTTATGCTAGTTTGTTTTTTATTAGGGCTACCTATTGATCGATTTAGTTTGATTTTGAAGTTTATCGGTTTGACTTATCGGTTATCAGTTTGTAGACATGCCAACTTATCATAGAATCATTAAGATATTGTATTATTGATTTATTGGTTATCGATTGCAATCGAT